GCAAACTACCCACAGGACCTCACCTTATCACCCCACCACCTTTTACCACCACCAGGCCCCCTTTCACCTTCCCTCCTGCACCACCTCCAACCCCCGTAACACCACCTCCAACCCCCGTAACACCACCTCCAACCCCCGTAACACCACCTCCAACCCCCGTAACACTACCCCCAACCCCCGTAACACCACCTCCAACCCCGTAACACCACCCCAACCCCCGTAACACCACCCCAACCCCCGTAACACCACCTCCAACCCCCGTAACACCACCTCCAACTCCCGTAACACAACCTCCTTCAGCGCTGCCTCCTGCGACTCCACCAACTACTACCACCGCACCATTTTTACTGCCGTGTCGTTTTAGTGCACATAATTGTTCCGTATATGAGCCGTGTCCACCTGACACCAAAACACGGACACTGTGTGACGGCTGCTACATAGGGGAGAGCTTCGTCAACCTGTCGCTGCTGTGCCCGGGAGAGGGGCGCCTCTACGACAGGGACTCCAGGGAGTGTATCCCCGACCCTAGAAGTAAGTTGTTATGGTGTAGTTTTGAGCTGTTTTAAGTTAATCCTTAGATCTACTAGAAAAATATATGAGCAACGAAAACAAAGATTAAGGCCATAACTCAACCTGCTGTGAAAATAAAGGGAAAATCAAATCTGCCTAACAAAGTGTGTGTGTGAACCTTTAAGTCCCTCTGGCAAACTGGGGAGCCTCGTTAACGCTAGCTACAGGGGCAGACCCAATAACCTTTCCAGCGAGATATCATGTATGTATGGCATTGTTCTGTTGCGTTAAAATTTTAGTCAACTATGGCCAAATATCACAAAAGTGGATGATAGGAGGCTGATACTAACAGGCGGAAACCAAAGTAAAAACTATACCAAAACGGTCTATTAGTTTCAGACCAAATAATTCGTTCAGTCGATGCTTCCGGCCACTCGCAGACCTTCGCAAGTTAGGACTCTATATATACCCACAATCTAGCATATTTCTCTAATGCAAAGTTGAACACAGGATTGGGTGACGGTGTTCATGAGGCATAATGAACATCTCCTTGACGGATGAGCTTCACCTTTTCATCCAGGTGGTCTGTACCCTTGTGGTAATCTCAGCACCTGCGTCTGTTAGGAGCAACCAATCCCATACACCATGGCACTAAAGGCGGGTGAAGCCAGACACTCACTACACGGGGATTTAACTGATGTTGTTGGACCTATAATGAAGGATTCTCTTCATAACTACTCGTAACAAACACACTACGTAACAAAACTTAATATTTCTAAAAAATTTATTCTTATGTTAATGTTGTAGACGTTACGTAACACCAACACACTCTTCTGACGGTCAAAGTCAAGAATGTAAGGTGTACACATCCCTCTCCCCCCCCTCTCATCCTCCCTCTCTCCCCCCCTCTCATCTCTCCCTCTCTACCCCCCCTCATCCTCCCTCTCTACCCCCCTCTCATCCTCCCTCCCCGCCCCTCCTTCCTGGCTTTGTTGACAACCTACTCAGTTCAGGACATGATAGAGGCGTAACTATGGACACGCAGTCGATCATCTTCCTCCTAACTATATATTCATACCCCCCAAAAAAGCTAGTCATTCAAACCCGTCTAGTATATATATATAAACATAGTTATTTATGAAAGTCTATTTTTGAAGAGTTAATAGTCAATTAAATTTGTTAATGTCAATGTTATCACAAAAATTATTATTGGTTACAAAGAAAAAATTACAGACCAAACAGCAGAGTTCCTCAATTTACTTCCACAAATATCTCTCGTTTGTAAAATATTCGCAAAAAAAAAAATTAGTTTACAATTTTGGAAAACATATTTTTTTCTGAAATGCGAACGACTGCACACCCAGACCCGATCCTTATCAAGTAAATGTGATGTGATAGGGACGGTGTGGGACCCGCCAGGTGTGTAGTGGTATGAGGACTGCCAGGTGTGTACAGGTATGTAATTTAAGACTGACACACAAGGGTGGAGTCTGGCATTCTCTCCACGGCCGTCATAACACCATAACAAAAATATCCCCACCACCACCACCACCACCACCACCAACACCACCACCAACACCACCACCACCACCAACACCACCACCACCACCACCAACACCAACACCACCACACCACCACCACCACCACCACCAACACCACCAACACCACCACCACCACCTAGTAATCAACCATGTTTCTCAAGAAGTTTGATGGTTTACGAGGAGAGTCTGTTGGCAGGTAGACGTCAGGTGGTGTACACTTAAAGGAATCACACTCAGGCTGTATGTCCATTTATATTAAGAAAACATCGCGATAAATCTCTTTCGTGGAATTATTTCAGAAGTAACGTTATTTTATATAGTTTCTTAGGGCTGTTTAATCCTAATAATAGAGTAGATTTTTACATGATTATCAGTAAGAAAAACACGTCGTGTGGGCAGTTTGGATACAACATACTGTACAGTAAGCCTTCGGTACACAACGAAGTTTAATGTGGTCGAAAATGGATAGCCAATTACAGCCAGGTGGTTTGGGAATGCTCAGGGATCGTACCAGTGATCCCAACGACAGAGGATGAGCGCTTTGTCCATTCAGCTGTCAGACTTCTCATTTTATGTAAGTCAGGAACATCACAGTCAAGGCAATGGTGACTGGTACCAAGTGGATGTTATCGCTCGTCTCCTATCCTAAGGGTAGTTGGTTAGCTCCCCGGGCACACCTTGACGGTTCGTGAAAGCGAGCGAGAGCAGTGTGGACCCATATTAGTATTCACTGTGCTTCACCCACACTGGCCCTAACTAGAGGGACGTCATGTATATGGGAGCTACTATGAATAAATTAACTCACACACAGACACACATATAACAATCAGAGGTGGTAAGGTCCTGCATAATAAACGTACCAGCCGCTCGTACCTGTGGGCTAGTGGCCATCCGTACTGCCATGCTGGAATTCCCGTCTGAGATCTCAAGTGGCCATAAACTCCATATACAGTGGAGGATCCTTGTGTGTATAAAAGACGAACCTGGTATCTGCAGTCAATAGATGTACAGTATATAGAATTACTTATAACCAGAGTCATTCTACATTATTTTGTTCACGTCGTTTCATCTTTAGTAACGAGGGTGTCCACTGTCTCTCACACTGTCTATATTAATTAATAATGGCTGCCCCTCGTATTCCAAGATGGCTGCCGTGAAGGCCATCTGGGTGAAGATTTTTCTGATGTGTGTTAGTTTCCGTCAATACAACAACCACACCCTGAATAAATGGTGTACTGCACTGTATTATGATCCGGTTTAAGGAGTAACTGAGCAAGGAAGACTGGAAGTAGTTAATCGCCCTGGAATACGACCTACCAGTCAATTACCAGTCAATTTTGCCATTACTGTTGGAGAAACAGACAAATAACATAAAGAAACTTGCCCAAAGTTTCATCCAGCCCGGAGACCAAACCCGATTCATATCTCCTCTCCCCTTCTTTTATAAGGCAAGTATGTTGACCACTACACGATAGGTCGCCATATTTGGTCTATGACATACCTGTACTTTCTCGTCAAAGAATATGTGCACAACACCGCGCTCCCTTACACAATGGTTGGTGGTCCTTCTCTCACTGCTGGATGTTAGTATACTATATCTGATTATGTTACTCTATAACCTTGACAGTGATCCAGGATCTCTGCCAGTAACGTGACAATATTTCTTAATGTGTCACTACGAGGCTCTACTGATACGTTATTTACACTATAAAACACAGGGTAACAAACCTAAGCTGAAGTTCCTGAGGGATGTGGCGATGGTTGGTAGCCCTGAACAAGCAGCTCGGAGATGTCACTGTACAAAGTGAAAGTCGATCATAACTTTACGTCACATCAGACCAAAATGAAGTGTAACCTGTGGAAGAAAATGAAAGATTATGGTGAATTTAATACCTGGAATATGTACAGCTGACAGTGCTGATGAAACACTTGATACATACATGATAAATGATCCCACAGTTGTGAAAATGCAGTCTAGAACTTTAACAAAACACGGGATACAATTACTAGAGAACCGTATAGAAAAGCTGTCAGACCAAACTCACGCTCCTACTGGTAACACAATGTCAAAACTTAAAGGCTGTGCTTCTAAACGTCAGGTGTTGGGGCGTTAGGTTAAGTTAAGTTAAGTTAAGTTAAGTTAAGTTAGGTTAGGTTAGGTTAGGTCGTATTTTGAGGAAATAGTCATCGATAACGTGATTTTAATGTCAGTAGGAGAAAAACAAAGACTATCGTATAAGTTATTTTTAAAAAGAAATAAAATAATAATAAACTCAGTTCCTCATAAAATGGCGTCGTAAAATATTACAATTTATAACTTGCTCTACGATCACACACAATCATGAGCTCTTCTGGGAATGACAAAAGAAAAAGAAAATAGAAACATCCACGTAATCGAAATGTTGAGATAATAGTGGCAACCATTAGCGTCTGGGCTGAAGAACGAGAGGTATGAGGAACATCAGAGTGTATTGTAACGTCTGGTAATGGTGGAGGTATGGCCGAGGTACTGATAGAATAATGTTTAATAGTTACACTTGACTTTGTATTGTGCTTGATCTGAATGGCTGGCTGTGTGGAGTAAATGACGTGTCTCTTAATATCTCATGTCCTTGGTTCGACTCCTGACATCATGGTTGTTGTGTTCGCCATCAGGTTCCTCTTCTCACTGGCAGGTGTTGTTGTTGTTGTTCTTCTTCTTCTTGGTGTGAGAATTCAACTTATTTTCTAGCATCTTTTTTTTTTCTTTCAGAGAATATCAACTGTTTGGGTACCACGCCTACCGCTCCTCCAACTACCACCACACCAACAACCACCACCACACCAACAACCACCACCACACCAACAACCACCACCACACCAACAACCACCACCACACCAACAACCACCACCACACCAACAACCACCACTACTCCAACAACCACCACTACTCCAACAACCACCACAACTACCACCACACCAACGACAACCACAACTACCACCACACCAACAACAACTACAACTACCACCACTACCACCCCAGCCCCCATAACAGTACAGGTGTCTCAAGGGTTCACTGTCCCGTGTTCGGACACTGACCTACTACACATACTGCCGCGGGTGAGGGAACTACGCTGCAACCTGTTCATCTTCTGCGGCCCAGACGACCAGTACTCGGTAAGCCACGGAGGATGGACTCTCCTCTCACTTATGGCGGAGACTTTATTCCTCTGGCTGCAGAAATAATCAAGTTGTGTTACGTATCAGAGAAAGACCAAATTATCTTTCGTTGTTATTTTATAGTTTTATGTTTCTTGTTTGGACTTCACATAGAGATATATTATATTTATTTTTTGGAGATAGACTTAAGTTTCTATTTAATTTCTTGTAAACTGTTTACACCTCAAGTACTAGATGTGTTTGACTCATTGGGTGTTTAAGACCCAAGCAACTAGAGGTAGTTCATTAATGGTTGTTTTGCTTACTAGAACAACACGTGAGTATTATAAGTACTCATAGACAGGTGTTATGATATATATATATATATATATATATATATATATATATATATATATATATATATATATATATATATATATATATATATATATATATATTTATATATTTATTCATAAGCCTGGTCCACAGGACTAGGCTTATGAATATTATGAATATTCTGTATAACCGGGAGGACAAAGGTCCTGCCAGGAGGAGCTGAAGGCTAACAATCAGATCAGTATCGGTGCATCAGACAGGTAATTTATGGTATTTTATACGTTCTGGGAAGGCCGGTATTCGGCAGCCAGCCAACACAACACTTAATATTTCCCAGAACATTTTATCATAAACTAAAAGAAAATCTATAAAAGTTTGGTAAATATCAGTAAACAATAGAAATCAATAAAACAACATATGTAAAAAAAATAAATTGTAATGGAAACAAAAGACAGTGACTGTTTATACGTCAGTGTTGTGTGAGGAACAAACACAGAATAGTAAACTCTGCAACCTGTGAAACACCTCAGTCCTTCCTGTGTCTCCTCCCTTACACACACACACGCGGTCAGAAATAACCTGAATGTATAAAAGAATAGTTGTGATGGAAGCAATATGACAGAAAGTTATCCCAAGTTGGTGAGGCAAGTGAGGCAAGAACGGTGTGTGTGTAAGTAAGGGACAATCGAGGGCAAGACACACACACACACACACACACACACACACACACACGGGTAGTCATGCCCAACGAACTTCGGATAAAGTTCTGTCATTTCGCTTCCTTCACAATTTTCCTCTAAGTAACAAATCATGATAGTTTATGGTTAGGTTAGGTTAGGTTAGGTCAGGTTCATCAATAAGGGAAAGTTTACGATAAGAAATTAGAATAATAATAAATTTTGACCTTTATGAATGCGTAACGTAAAATGTTCTATAGTCATATTTATAGACCTAACTAATAACAAAACATAACAGACCAATTAATTGCCTATAAAAACTCCAGGTAGAGTTCAAAGGTTTTCTTGTAGACATCCCGGGGAAAATTGTTAAGCAGAGATGATGTTTAACGCGACCAAAATGTGGGTAATACTGAATAATCTTTGTATCAGTGTTACTAAGTTGAGTGACGCAATCTGGTTGAGTGGCGTGAAGGTTGTACTCAGCGAGGGTGTGTTGTAATAATGTTGGCGATACTGGGTGCATTAATCCCATTCATTGCCTAACAAATATGTGGTTCCAAACACTCACCTCGTGTCCTAAAGGTCACTCGTTCGATCCCGGGTACTATATTATTTTATTTACACTGTATTGTACTGTATTGTATTATATTTAAGATATGATGGATTATACATAACCTGTGTGTGTGTGTTCGTGTGTGTATAGGGTCAGAGTAACCTGTGTGAGAGGTACTACGAGTGTCGGCGGCAGGCAGGAAGTTGGGAGATTATCCAACAAGGATGTCCAGTCGGTACTCTCTTCAGTGAGGACAACGACCAGTGCATCCCTCGACCTAAACGTAAGTCTCTCTCTCTCTCTCTCTCTCTCTCTCTCTCTCTCTCTCTCTCTCTCTCTCTCTTTCTTCCATTCTCACATATCTTTTTTTTTCAATTTCCTATTCCTTCTTTCTCACTCAGAGGTAATATCTAGTCTCTATTTCAAACTTAAGATAATATATTAATTACATTAGCATGACAACATTTATTAAAGTGCAAACAACGGAACTGATGGTAAACTCTACTAATAACAAAAAACATAAAATTACAAACTCAGCCAACTAACTCATTATGACAGCAACTAAAGAAAATAAGTACATTAACACATTCTAGATACAGTTAACGAATATATTAACAAATACTGAATTAGCATATTTGACAAGGTGATTGGTTCAAGGCATTAAAACAAACCCCTATACATTTCTTTACAGAGGAAGAGCTGTGTGACATATTGTAGGTTGACGGCCGTGTTACTAAGACCGCCTCAACCTGTCATAGGAAAAGAAACTCTACTGTAGTCACGGCCTAAGACCTCAGCTGCCAAGACGGAGGTTAATTAAAGCTTAAGACCGTCTCTGCAAAGACCAACGTGATCCCTGTCCCAACCTCAGAAAATCAACTCAACGAGAATCAACAACATGGCAGTCAATAGCTGAGATAAAAGATAAACGTACATGCTATGGCAGATCACAAGAACCTGTGTGTTGGCCAGCTTGTATACGTGTTTCCCTTACTGCAGCAGACAAGTCCTTTCTCATCACCAGGCAGAGAACTATACCGAATGAGACCTTCAATGTCCGTTTCATCACCAAAAAATCATAAATTCATGCCATTCTCTCTTTTGTGTGTGTGTGTTGTATCAGGTTATTGCTTAAACTAATATTATTTTTCATATTGTTTAGTTGTTTTCACCTGCAATGTAAACTGGTGTGTGTGTGTGTGTGTCTGTGTGTGTGTGTGTGTGTCTGTATAATACCCAGTGAAACTTACTAATGTCGCTTGATGGCATAATAATAATATTACCATGTATGCCCTGCGTTTAAGATGGAGAGAGAGATAGTATTACCGTATTCTCCTTGCATAATAGCCTACACATGTGCAACTAGCTATTTCGTCTATTATATTTACAAAGCCACATTCAAAACCCTTATAATTAATACACAAACTAGCCCCTCATAAATTGCCTCATAATCGCTAAAGAGGGTGAAACATTTGTCTAATTAATAAAGGTTTAGGCAGGTTTCCCCTAGTCATTGTTTACACCTACGAAGCTAACATATATGACCCCTGAACTATGTGGGCCTCGAACCCCCATGTAATGATAGAGTTTTGTTTATATTGTTTATGTTGTAACTTGTTTTCTTGTTTATGTTGTGTTTTCTTGTTAATTGTTGTTTATTTTGTAATTTATTGTTGATTATTGTTCATCCTGTATCCTGCCGTTAACTTATTTATTTATTGTTAAAATTGTTGATATTGTTATTGTTCATTTATTTATTATCCAGCTAAATAAAAACAGTAAATTCACAGCAACGTGTATCTTTCATCCACATATGGCTGTCAGCTGGTTGTATGAGTACATATGGCTGTCAGGGGGAGCTGGTGGTAGAGCGGTACCGTTCTTGCCTTGCAAGCAAGATGTCACTGGTTCGATTCCCGGGCCGGCGGAAGTTGTTTGGACACTCTTCCTAGTCCCCTTCGTCCCTGTTCACCTCGCAGCAAAGTAGGTACCTGCTGTAAATCGGAAGTTGCGAATTCATATTCAGGGACAAGTTGTTGGAGCTTCCAATAACTTGTTTAGACATAAACCATTGACTCTTCAGGCTTCTACGCCCTCGACTCATGAGACATAAGGCAAGCATGAACTTAGCACGCTTCCCTGTTGGGCGCTGTAAACGCTTCTGCGTTTCACCTTACACAAGGATGTGGGGGGGTGCCCAATAAATGAAAAAAAATGGCTGTCAGCTGGTTGTATGAGTACATATAGCTGTCAGCAGGTTGTATGAGTCTACATATGACTGTCAGCTGGTTGTATGAGTACATATGACTGTCGGCTGGTAGTATGAGTCTACATTTTGCTGGCAGCAGGTTGTATGAGTCTACATATGACTGTCAGCTGGTTGTATGAGTACATATGACTGTCGGCTGGTAGTATGAGTCTACATTTTGCTGGCAGCAGGTTGTACGAGTCTATTTATGGCTGTCAGCTGGTTGCATGAGTACATATGGCTGCCAGCTGGTTGTATGAGTATATAATGCTGTCAGCAGGTTGTATGAGTTTACATATGGCTGTCAGCCGGTTGTATGAGTACATATTGCTGTCAGCTGGTTGTATGAATCTACATATGGCTGTCAGCCGGTTGTATGAGCACATATTGCTGTCAGCTGGTTGTAACATGTCAGCTGGTTGTATGAATCTACATATGGCTGCCAGCTGGTTGTATGAGTATATAATGCTGTCAGCAGGTTGTATGAGTTTACATATGGCTGTCAGCTGGTTGTATGAATACATATGGCTGTCAGCTGGTTGTATGAGTACATATAGCTGTCAGCAGGTTGTATGAGTCTACATATGACTGTCAGCTGGTTGTATGAGTACATATGACTGTCGGCTGGTAGTATGAGTCTACATTTTGCTGGCAGCAGGTTGTATGAGTCTACGCTGTCAGCTGGTTGCATGAGTACATATGGCTGCCAGCTGGTTGTATGAGTATATTGCTGTCAGCTGGTTGTATGAATCTACATATGGCTGTCAGCCGGTTGTATGAGCACATATTGCTGTCAGCTGGTTGTATGAATCTACATATGGCTGTCAGCTGGTTGTAAATGACCACACAGGTAAATAATGAAACATAAGATCATAAGAATGGAGGAAATTGCAGCGGGTCTATTAGTCCATACTGGGCAGCCCCGTTTACACCCAACCCCTATCTCTCATATATCCCTCCAACCTATTTATGAAGCAATCCAGTGTGTTCGAGTTAATGATGAAATTCGGTAACTTGTTCCACCCATCCTCTACTCTATTTCGAAGCCCCAAAACTTGGTGTAGCGTAAGAGAAAAAATTATAACTTAATGTATACTGTAATCAATAAAAGGAAACATTGTTAAACATAATAAAAAAAAATGATTCCTACACGATTACATATATATAGTCAGGAAAATAGTTATAAATATTAAGTAAAAATGAATAAAATGAATAATATCTTTCACTCACATTAGTACACATCGATCATTGTGTTGGGCAAGCTTAATTAGTATTATACTCGTTTCATTATGCATTAGTGACCTTATATCATAGGTAGTAAGACTCACGCCCTCATCCATGACACTACCTCATTACTCATTATTTTACACTAACCAAAACTTCATATTTACAGAAGATTGAGATAAATGTTAGTTAGAGCAATGGTTAGTTATCACAGCCAAGAATGTCTTTGTTCCAGGTGTGTGAGTGACCGCAGACACAGGGCAGGTAAAGTAATCAATCATTATTCAGTTAGACACACAAGAGGATAGCCCGGGGTAAGGTCAGGTAGGCGGTGCATCTATCTTAAGCGGTAAAACACGACTTATTAGCATATTTCTGGCGTCGACCTTACGAGAGCATAACGTAATCTCAGTATATATATGTGTTGTTGTTATTATCCTGTTCATGTAAGTATTGGTGGTGGTTATTTAGTGTGTGTGTGTGTGTGTGTGTGTGTGTGTGTGTGTGTGTGTGTGTGTGAGTGTGTGTGTGTGTGTGTGTGTGTGTGTGTGTGTGTGTGTGTGTAATAATAATAATAATAATAATAATAAACGGTTTATTAATAGAGTTGCAGCCGGTGGCTGAAAATATACAAACTTACATGTGATTTAGACATAATAATATACGTTCAATACATTTACAAGGCTGTACAGTACATAAATCAGGAGTTGTTTATTATTTTAACAATAGATGGGATGGTGCTCCTCTTATATCTATCGGTGCGGGCTCTTATGGGCTGAATTTTATTGTAGTGGCCTCTGTAATTTACAACTGACGGACGACTCGAGTCAATCATCTGTGAGAGTAGAGCCCGTGGGTGGAGCTCCCTCACATACGGTATATAGGGCTGACCCTCGCCCACGCCCCGCTGGTGATGAGGACTGACTCATCTCCCGGATAAAGCTGCTTCTGTCTCTTGTAAGGCTTTAATCTGATCGCAAGACGACGCAACGGCAGGAGTGTGTGGCCGTAGTAGGCTTTATCAAGATCTGTAGGAGACAGTCTGAGGGGAGGCTTCTCCTTATATTTCCTGGTAGGGAACTTTAGCTGTGATCCTGTTACTTCTTTTTTTTTCTAATTTTGAGGAAACATCTTTTGACAATCAAGCTTGTCTAACATTGCACATCGTTTAAAATTCTTTCCTTTTTTTTTTAAAGTTGGCTTCGGCAAGAAAGACCTTAACAGACCCTGGGTAACGGTGACACACTCAACCCGGGTTCCTGTGTTGGAGGTACAGGTGTATCTGGAATTCTGTTTGGAAAATGTACAAACATTTTTGTTTGTGGAAAAAATGGATACCCACAGGACTGCATCAGCAACTGCGATATTACAGAATCCACTGTTGTAAAAACTCGTCCATTACCAGTTTATGACATTAATTAGAGACCATCTGTTTGCTACCACTCAAACACCTAACAGTAAACCTAACCAAACCGAACCTAACCTAAACTACCAACACCTTACATTTCGTATTTTTGTTGACTGTGGGTGTAAACATCGACGAAAGCCGCTAAACTTGTCAGTACAATATTAAGGAAACGTTCAACTGTGATCTCAGAGGTCCTGTGAGCCGCGGCATCTGCATAACTATTACTGACCCCAGGATACCATCGGAATATACAGAGGATCCTCAAGTACCAAGGATTAAATATAGGCTAAATAAGAACTCGCATCACTGTAGCCACCGGTCTCCTTCACCAGCTGAGAATATTCTTGTTGACACTAATAATGGAGTGTGGGAGGAACCAGGGGTGATGGGTGTAACAGGTTGAGCCCCTCCACAGAGACACGAGTAAAGAGAGTTACCAGGGGCGGGCGGCTGTGCTCAGGGGCGCTTCACTGACACAGTTAACAAGCACATGCTGAGCCTCAACACTACCGACTTGAATGAAAAATATATACCTATTTATTATAGCCATTTTATCTCAATTAGTTTTAAATTAGCTTGAATTTTTTGCGGGTTTTCAATTATTCCAAGAAATATTATAATCACTACATCTTATTTACAACAAAACTAAACAAACTTTATATGATCCATCCTTATCTAACAACAGTACCTGGTCTTAATAACACTGAGTTACCTTATATTTTCTTTGATAATGTATATTCAGTAAGATATCATGCGAATCCTTCATTAATTTCCTTATTTTCCTCTGCAAATATTTACCTTATACCTGTACAGTGGAAATTCAAGTGCTCAGTAAACACTAGATCTATCATTAAACCTGAAGCTTATTTCCCGAGGACCAAGTGATGCAGAGTGTACAAGTACCGTCAACTGATACTTAAGAACAAATACCAGACTATTACCACCATGATCAGCTTGGGTCAGTTGATGGTAATGCAGCTGTATACAAACATTGAACGGGTTAAGTTAGGTCAATTTATTTTAAGTTCGGTTAATTTAAGATTAGGATAGGTTAGGTTAGGCTTAGGTTAGGTTAGCTTTGGTTGTTTTGTTTTTTTCCTTTATTAATTATGATATAATACAGCAAGATCCAAGCCTTTAAACTACATTTTTTAACCATTCTGACCACAAAGGCCCCGATCACCTAAGCCTATTACAGCACAGTGTCAGCTATACACGTCATGGGTTGAGGTCATGAGACAAAATAAGTCATTACCTGTTATATACACGTCCTTAGACCTTCACTATACCTTCTCTCCCTCCATAAACAGTGAGGGTATCATGATCGGCATGTTAGTCAGTCAGTCAGTCAGTCAGTGCAAACAGACGAGAGAACAAGCTCTATATTAATGTTTTCAAGACAATTTGGCTGCGAAACAACTTGAATATTACTCTTTTTTTTTTTAATTCATCAGCAATAGTTTCGATCACTTATCAGATATTACTCAATGGAAAAACTGAATTGTCATGTTTACAGTTGAAGACCATACTGAGGCCGTAACCCAAGATGTAGTTACAGGTATGCGGAAGGACACCAACAGGTAAGCTTTTAAGTGCCGCTCAACACATTTTTGCTGTCAGCCATGGGTGGCGTCAGTACACAACCCTGACTTACCGGTCGTAAATTTGTCACAAAACAATATTTGTCGGTATTGTTGTGAATAAGCAGCTTTATGTATATATATATGTAGAAGGAAGAACATATTTCAATACAAGTGTGGTCATATATCAACGAAGTGAATCATTATATATACAAAACAACAAAGATTTTTAACGTAAATAAACAGCTATAAGCTGAGGACTCACCCAGCACTGAGGATGAGTTACAATTACTCATATGAGAAGAGTTACACGCACTCACCAGCAATGA